GCACTGTTGTTTTGTTTCACTGTTTTTAATTTAATAAATGCAACATTGTTCCAAAATCAATGAGTAATCGTTAAACTAATCGTGATTTCAATATTGACTACAATAATCGTGATTATGATTTTTTCCATAATCATGCAGCCTTATATACAACGTCTTATTTTTTTTGTTCAGTAAGATAAATGCCAAAGCACTTTACAGATCCTGCGTCACATTCACCCATTCATTCACTCATTCATACACTGACGACCGCGTCTACCATGCAAAGCGACTGCAGGCCCGCCAGGAGCAGCTGGTTAGGTTAGGTGTCTTGCTCATGGACACCTCAATTGCATAGGAAGCCTCAATTTCCCAGGGGATCGAACCACCAACCTTGCGATTGACAGACACCCGACTCAACCCACTGAACCACTGCCGCCCTCGTCACACCCCAGGTGTTTCTTGGGAGCCTTATGCCTTTATACCATCAATAATGGAAATCTTGGACAAATCTTGGACAACATCATTCCCCATGCCAAACCAGATGACATAGCCTTGCAAAGTTGTTACTGTGGAAGTTTCTGTGTTCAGAAAAGAAAAGATCTTGTTCACTTCTTTGTCTCCAGTTTCAGGCTCATATTTCTAGTAAACACTTTCCCCTTGAGACCACTGATTGAGTTCACAATCCAGCTCTTGGTTTGAAATGGAGGGCTGTCAGAATCTTGTGGTTCAGGTTTAAAATTGTGCCCTGGTAATGTGGAGAAAGGTTGTGCGGGTGTACATTTCAAGACAATATAAAATATTTTGAATCTGATGTTTTAAAAAGAACATCCCAGTACACTTTAATGCCAAGTCATTCATATAGGGATGTAGAGACATAGGAGACAATAAATCAAGTTTGACCAGTGAGTCCTGAGCGTAACCAGTAAGAATTGACCTTTATAATAAGTAGCATACCGTCATTTAACTTAAATCAGTATCAAATATATTCTGTTCAACTAAACCCAGAAATGTTGACACAGAAATTTGTTTTCAATAGTTAAGGGATAGATATGTAATACCATAGATACGTTTACAAATATATGTTGAATAGATATATCAACCCAGAGATATGTTCTCTAATATGTTTACAATAGTTAATTGATACTGTATCACTGTACAATTAACTTAACATTTTTGTAAATCTTTGATTATGTCTTATCATGTGACAACACTGAAGAAATGACACGTTTGCTACAATGTAAAGAAGTGAGTGTACAGCTTGTATAACAGTGTACATTTGGTGTCCCCTCAAAATAACGCAACAGACAGTCATAAACAATTAAACCGGACAAAAAAATAACCATTTAGCTATGGTAGAATCAAGGAATCAAGGAAAAAAAAACAAAAGCAAAAGGAAGTCAACATAAACATATTGTTGTTTGTCAATCTTGATCTCGCATTGCAGCTCCCCGCTTCTAAAATGTGGGGTCTGACACCACACGTACGAGGACAGAACAAAACCTTGTCGAAGCCGGACTGCCTCGCATAAGCACCCAGTGAATTCCCTGCTTTACAGATTCAGAAGTAATTCTATTTAAGCACCAAAAGTTCCATGACATCACAATCTGATTAGAGTCCATATCAAATTGTTGTTCATAAGGAATGGTTATGGGGCTATAATGGAGGGCCTACTGTGGGTATGGCTCTTATACACAAGTCCCCAAAGGGAAGCAAATTTCATCATCTGATCTCTGCTCACATGATGGTAAAGTAAAAGAGATTCAGGTAGAAAAGAGTCCGAAATAGCGAGAGAGAGAGAGAGAGAGAGAGTCTGAACACAGTTAGGCCCATCCAGATCAGTAGAAAACAAAAATAAACTAGTTGATACTCAGGACCACAGAGCAAATTGGGCCCATATAACCCCTAACAAAGTACCAGGGCCTAAATTTAGTTTTTTAAACTGGGGGGGGGGTTCCCCCTTACATGGGTCACATGGGGGGATCCAAAGATTATCGGGGAGAGAAAAACTTTTGATGCATCGATCTAATTTAGTCATCTTCATTTATTAATCAGATTTGTATCCATGAATTGTGCATTTCCAGTTCTCAAAACAGTTAATAACAAAACAAAAAAAAAACTTACAACATGCTCTTCTTCAAATTCACATTAAGACCTCTGTTTAAACTAGGCCTAGGCTATATATTAATGTCTTTCTATTTCAGTGTAGTTCATGCGTTTCAGTTCAGTTCTTATTAAACGTCATACAAAATACACCATGCTCTCCTTCAAATTCATATTAACAACTCAGTTTAAACTATATGTATTTATGTCTCTCATTCTGAGTCTTTCATGCGTTTTTAGTTCAATTTCAGTCACTTTTTTCAATTTCTTGTTACTTTTTTCATGTGACTTATTCCAAGTTTCTCAGTTAGCTAGTTCGTTTAAAATGTATCCTTTGACTGCTTCCTCTGAGATTTTTTTTGTGGATCTTCAGTTCGGCCTTTCATTGTCAGACAGTTTTTTGTTTGGATTGTGATATGCATCATACAAACTTGTCTTTCGCTTCAGCCAGCGGTCCATATTTAAACTACGATAACCAGCGGTCAAATATTTAGACTACGCTAACCAGCGGTCCATATTTAAATTAGGCTAACCAGCGGTCTACAGTCCCTGACAAAAGTCTTGTCGCTTATCTATTTTCTAGAAACACCTGCTATTAACCAGACTTTTAATTAATCAATTGGTGTTAGAAATAGCTCATATGAAAAGCTAAAACCTTCCCAAATGATGTTTAATGCACAGAAATGAATTAGTTTCACTGAAAAAATATGTATCATTTAATCAAGACAGAAAGGTCAAATTTTGGCAAGACAAAAGTTTTGTCGCCTATACAGAAATTGAACACATTTACTGCAAATACAAAAATATGTCAGCAAATTAAGTAGTGGTGCTGTGAGGTCCAAATTGAATATCTTGTATGACTTCCATGAGCTTGAAGGACTGCATCCATGCGGTTTGGCAAGGATTCATACAATTTATTGATGAAGTCATCAGGAATAGCAAAGAAAGCAGTCTTGCATGCCTCCCAGAGTTCATCAATATACTTTGGTTTCGTCTTCCATGCTTCCTCTTTCATCCTACCCCACATATGCTCAATGATGTTTATGTCTGGTGACTGGGCTGGCCAATCCTGGAGCATCTTGATCTTCTTCACCTTGAGGAACTTTGATGTGGAGATGGAAGTATGTGATGGTGCAACATCCTGCTGCAGAATTTGTCCTATTTTATGGATGGGAATATAAGAGGTAGCTAAGATTTCTTGGTATTTTAGACTATTGATGTTGCCTTCCACCCTGCAGATCTCTTGCACACCCCCATACTGGAAGTAACCCCAGACCATGATTTTTCCGCCACCAAAATAGTTCTGGGTGAATCTCGGATCCATGCGGGCTCCAGTAGGTGTCCTGCAATATTTGCGGTGACTGTGGTGTAATTCAACAGAAGATTCATCTGAAAAATCCACCTTCTTCCACTTTTCCAGCGTCCATCCTTTTAGGAGGCTGTGGGCCTTGGAAATGCAACACGGTTTTTCAATTGTCTTTTGTTTAGGGCTGGCTTCTGGGCACTGATTCGACCATGGAGGCCATTTTGAGACAGAATCCGACAAACTGTTCTGGTTGAAACAGGGACTTCAGGTGACCAGGTCTCATGGAGCTCTGCTGCAGTGGAAAATGGGCTGGCCTTGGATTTTCGAGCCAACAAACGATCCTCTCCAGCAGTTGTCTTGAGGGGTCTGCCTGACCTGGGCTTGTCAAAAACGTCTCCAGTGTCTTCAGATGTTTTTTTTATCCTCTGTACTTGACGCTGAGACACATTGAAGGTGTCTGCCATATCAGCAGTGGATCTGGTCTTCAGCCTCTTGATAATCAAAACTTTAGTCTCAGGGTGAATCTTAGGCATGTTTGCAGAGGTCTAGTTGCAGTTGATGTGAAGGTCTAGTGTACTGGGGTTGTTTTTATACACACCTGAGACCTAATTGATCCATTATTAGTCACAGGTGAAGCTCATATGACAAGGCGACAACACTTATGTCTTTGCAAAAATTGACTCAATGGGCTTTACCAAGCTGTGAATATTAGAATACTTTTTGACAGTTTAATTTTGCACTGAAACATTATTACAAAAGCTGTTGGGATTAAAATGAGCCATTTCTTGTAAAAACATCTTGATTAGAAATATATTTCAGCGGCACTTCAGGTCAATTTGTACACAAGCGACAAGACTTTTGTCAGGGACTGTATATTTAAACTACGCTAACCAGCGGTCCATATTTAAACTACGTTATCTGAACAATTCGTTGTCTGTGCGCCGTGTTTGTGCGCGCGGGAAATATGCAGCGCATAACAATAGAAAACAAGGAGAAATGCGCATTCACCTGCTCACACAATCAACAACGTGGCTCTAAATAAAACAAGTTGAACGCGTGGGCCTGCCCCGTGGCGTCTGTCATTGCTATGCAACCATGAACTGCGCTCTCCATGATGACGAGGAAGAATCAGCATTAGATTAATTGATTTCCAGCCCTTGCATTAGCTTTACTACTAGATATATTTATGAAGATGCAAAATAATAAGGCGCCCTGCACAGCTATGATAAGCTGTTCGGCCGAGCATTCAATGCTGTTACGCTGTAAGCTGATTAGTTGGCTCGTTGCTGCCGCGCTCTATCACTCGCACACCATAAAGAGCTAAATGTGTTTTAATGTTTCAATTTCGTGATGAAAATGACATAATTTGGACACGGATAATTTCTTCACAAACAGCTCATTATGACTCAAATGTTAGAATGCTGTACCTACACTCGATAGCAGAGACGTACTGGCTATCTGTGTGATCCGGAGAATCACAGAACGGCCGGTACTCCAGGACGGCCGGCCCACCACCCGCCACACACGGACCGGCCCACCACCGGCCACACACGCAGTCATCACCTGTATTTTTTCCCCCCAGTTACCGGTTTTATTCGCCCTCCAATTGGGATATCCTTGTTTGGAGTAGTGGTTAGTGCGCTTGGCTGCGGACCCGGAGGACCCTGGTTCAATTCCCCCCACCAGGTGTCTCAATCTTTTGAAATAGTTTTAAAACTTTTATTTTCTGAAATCTATATTTGCCCATGTGTATGTGTAGTTAAAACAGCTAAACTTCAACATTTTAGCTGTAAAATGCCACATGCAGTAGCCAATATTAAGAAATATGCTGTGCTTTTACTTTTAAAAAGTATAGACGCGCCGATTGCTTTGGGCCGGGCCTAGTCAAAGTCCAGTGCCGTTTTTAGTCCCAGTCCGTCCCTGCTCGATAGTGTGAATAAGATCAGTGTAACGCAAACCACTGCATTGACAGCTGAAACATGACATTTACATTTACATTTTGCGCATTTAGCAGACGCTCTTATCCAAAGCGACTTACAATATGTGCAGGCATTTCACATATAGCTAAAACACACATCAAAAAGGCAATAAGTACATTGTTCCTGGGTGGGAGCAGGGGGAAGTGCTAGAGATATAAGGGGTGCTAGGAGAGGAGGAATGGGTGGTAATCGTAGAGGAATGATTCAGTAGTGAAGTTTCGAACAGGCGAGAGTTGTGCAGCTCCATTCATGGAGCTACTGGAGGTACAGTTTGAAGAGGAATGTTTTTAGATGTTTTTTAAAGATTGGTAGAGAGTCCGATGATCTGATCTCCAGAGTGGAGTTGTTCCACTATTGCGGGGCAAGCACGGAAAACAATTTAGACTGAGAAGATCGGGAGTTGCCCTCCCGTAGGGATGGCACTACCAAGAGGCCTGAGGTGGCAGAACAAAGTGCTCGCGTGGGTGTGTACGGCTTGATTAGTGACTGGATGTAGGAGGTTGCGGTTCCTCTTACTGCCCCATAGGCTAGCACCATGGTTTTGTAGTGGATGCGTGCTTCGACCGGGAGCCAGTGTAGTGTGCGGAACAGCTGAGTGACGTGGGAGAACTTTGGTAGATTGAAGATCAGGCGGGTTGCTGCATTTTGAATGAGTTGCAGGGGTTTGATGGCGCACACTGGGAGACCAGCCAGAAGGGAGTTGCAGTAGTCGAGACGGGAGATGATAAGTGCCTGGATCAGCACTTCTGCGGCTCCCTGCGTAAGATACGGCCTTACTTTCCGAATGTTGTAGAGCATGTACCTGCAAGACCGGAACACCGCCTTGATGTGTGCAGAAAATGAGAGGGAGTTGTCAAGGGTCACGCCTAGGTTTTTCCCACATTGGGTAGCGGGGACTGTGACGTTGTCCACCGTAATGGACAGATCCTGGAGCGGGCAGGCTCTTTCTTTGAAGAAGAGCAGTTCAGTTTTACCTAGGTTGAGTTTCAGATGTGCATACATCCAGGCCGAGATGTCAGTCAGACATGCAGAGATACGGGATGCTACCTGGGTTTCAGACTGTGGGAATGAGAAAAATAGTTGGGTATCATCTGAATAGCAGTGATAGGAGAGGCCATGTGAGGATATGACTGAGCCAAGAGACCGGGTGTATAAGGAGAAAAGGAGAGGGCCTAGGACCGATCCTTGGGGGACCCCAGTGACAAGGGGCTGCATGTTCGACGGCGGGCCTCGCCACACCACCTGGTAAAAACGGTTCGACAAGTAGGAGGAAAACCAGGAATGCACCGCTCCTGAAAACCCCAGGTCAGAGAGGGTGGAGAGCAGGATCTGATGGTTTACTGTGTCGAAGGCAGCAGATAGGTCTAGTAGAATGAAAACAGAGGAGAGAGAGTTGGCTTGGGCCTTGCGTAGGGCTTCAGTTACACAGAGCAGCGCTGTTTCAGTTGAGTGGCCCGTCTTGAATCCTGACTGGTTAGGGTCCAGGAGATTGTTCTGCGAGAGGTAGGAGGACAGTTGGTCAGCTACGACGCGTTCAAGCGTTTTGGAAAGGAAGGACAAGAGGGACACAGGTCTGTAGTTGTTGACATCCGACGGGTCGAGAGACGGTTTCTTGAGGAGCGGAGTCACTCTGGCCATCTTGAAGTCGGAAGGGACACATCCTGAGGTTAGAGAAGTGTTTATTAGAGATGTGAGATATGGAAGAAGGTCCGTGGAGATGGACTGGAGGAGTGGGGAAGGGATAGGGTCAAGCGGGCATGTTGTCGGACGGCTGGATTGGACCAGTTGCAGGGTGTCTTTCGGACCGAGCGTGGAGAAGGAACTCAGACCAGGGACAGAGTCAGTGTGAGGGGAAATAGCGATTTCTGGCGGACGGGTGAATGATGCTCGAATGTTGTCCACTTTCTGTTGAAAGTGGGTAAGAAAGTTGTCAGCTGAAAGGGAAGATGACGGAGGAGGTGGAGGAGGGGTGAGGAGTGTGGAGAAGGTGGAGAAGAGCTGTTTTGGGTTGGAAGCGGAGTCGTGGAATTTCCGGTGATAGAAAGCAGCTTTAGCGGTGGTCAGATTAGAGTTGAAGGCGGTGAGGAGGGACTGGAGGGAAGCCAAGTCGCTTTGAATTTTGGTGGATCTCCATTTCCGCTCGGCTGCACGAAGTTCTCTCCTGTGGCTACATAGGGTTTCATTTAGCCACGGCACAGGAGGTGCGGCTCGGGCTGGCCGGGAGGAAAGAGGGCAGAGCAAGTCATAGAATGTAGATAGCGATGCTAGAAGGGTGGAAGAGGCAGATTCCGTAGACAGGAGGGAGAAGGATTCGGGAGACGGGAGGGATGAAAGAACAGAAGCGGCAAGATCAGATGGGGAGAGGGATCGAGTGTTCATGCGACCCACCACCAGGCTGGGAGTTGATGATGCACGAGAAGAGAGGGAGAGGGAAAATGAGACTAGGAAGTGGTCCGATAGCGGTAGGGGTGTGGTCTTAAAGTTGGTCAGCGGGTAGCATCTGGTGAAGACGAGGTCCAACACATTGCCTGCGATGTGAGTCGCCGTTGACGGGTGAGGCCGAGGCCAAACAATGACAGGAGGGGTAGGACGGATGAGCCTAAGAAGGTGTTGAATGTGGTCGTTGGCAGGTTGAAGTCACCTAGCAGGACAGATTTGATCTGTCTACAGCCTGGGCTCAGTGGAAGACAGAGAAACATATGATCTGTCTACAGCCAGGATTCAGCAGAAGACAGAGAAACATATGACCTGTCTACAGCCAGGGCTCAGTGGAAGACAGAGAAACATATGATCTGTCTACAGCCAGGACTCAGCGGAAGACAGAGAAACATATGATCTGTCTACAGCCTGGGCTCAGTGGAAGACAGAGAAACATATGATCTGTCTACAGCCAGGACTCAGCAGAAGACAGAGAAACATATGATCTGTCTACAGCCTGGGCTCAGTGGAAGACAGAGAAACATATGATCTGTCTACAGCCAGCGCTCAGCAGAAGACAGAGAAACATATGATCTGTCTACAGCCAGGACTCAGCGGAAGACAGAGAAACATATGATCTGTCTACAGCCAGGATTCAGCAGAAGACAGAGAAACATATGATCTGTCTACAGCCAGGACTCAGCAGAAGACAGAGAAACATATGATCTGTCTACAGCCTGGGCTCAGTGGAAGACAGAGAAACATATGATCTGTCTACAGCCAGCGCTCAGCAGAAGACAGAGAAACATATGAGCTGTCTACAGCCAGGGCTCAGCAGAAGACAGAGAAACATATGAGCTGTCTACAGCCAGGGCTCAGTGGAAGGAGAAACATATGATCTGTCTACAGCTAGGACTCAGCGGAAGACAGAGAATGCCGGTCCAGCGCTGATTGTGGAATTACATTAGAAGATAAGACAGATTGACATATTTTTTTACATTTTTCTCGCACCTGTGAATATATTTTTTAATAATTTGCTCTGAGTTGAAGCAAATATATTTGTGTGGGAATTTCTCACACTATAAAAGCTAACCTTGGGGGAATGGATTAAATTATGCGCAATCCCGCATCCGAAATTCAAGCCCTGAAGTGCACACAGTGGCAGAATCGCTGATCCAAAATGAGGATAAACCTTTCAGACTGTGAGCATGGACTTGCTATTGAACATCTCCAACATAGGCAAACCTGGCTCTTGGTGTCTTTTACCCAGAAAATGATGCGAACAACTCATATTTCTGCAGATAATACAGACACACCGATAATTTCAAATCGAATTGTGCAATGTACAAACACAATATAGAATCACAGCTGCATGATTTGTGACCTACCTCTATTAGATGAGAACAAACCAACCTTTTAATCTTAACCAGTACCCAGCAGTTTATTTTATTTTCTGTTTTATTTTGTGTTTCTGAACATCTTTACAAAACAGTACTACATGACATATCACCTTCTGAAACATGCGTGTAATAAATGTTGTTTGTTACTCATTATATCCTTTTAATTTTCAGTTGGCTTTCAGAATGTAAAAAAGCCCTTTAAATTGTAAATAATTTGACAGAGTTTAACAGGGGCACAAGGAAACTAATATAAATAAGAAAGAGGAATTTGATTGAGGACCTTACCTTCTGTAGACTAGTGGGGTTCAACTGAGTTTTGTCAATAATCTTCACTGCAACCTACGAGAGAAGGAACAAATGGCCATGTTAAACATCCATTTTGTTTCTGACAGTCTGTTTCTTTGATCCTCAAATCCTAAACCAAGTTTACCGGAGACAGAGAAAGAGATACAGAAAGAGTAAAGGAGAGAGAAAGAAACAAAAAGAAACAGAGAGAAAAGAAACAAATGGCACCCTTCCTCGGTTTATATGGGAAATGTGGTACCATGTAGGACACAGAAAGAAAATTGGGATTAAAATGAATCTCCAGCTAGCAGCATGCTTGGTAATTTTTTCTCAGAACCAAGAAATCTAGCAGCTCGATTTAGTAACGATGAGTGATATGGGAAATCAATTTAGCACATTGTCTGACGTCAAAATAAATAATAAATGTTGTTCCTCATATAAAACAGCAAAAGATAAACTGATGTTTTGAATATTGGACACTACATGATTGTGATTTCAGGGTTCAACGTAAAAAAAAAGTTTTACTGGCCCATTCTATATTTTTACTGGCCCTGAAAGAAAGAGAATAAAAACATGTTTTCATAAAATTGTATTTATTCATGCGTA